TGAGCGTAGCTCACTCCCTAGTTTTGGGAAATTTTTCAGGAGAACCTAGTAGGAGAGATGGCTGAAAACCCAAGGTTCACTTACAGTCGTCGTACTCCGGGTGACAGGTTCCACTTGTCTCTTTTGTTGTTTTGATTAGTTTTGATTGTTTTGGGTGGCAAATTCTTGTTGGTTAGATTTTTTTGTTTTGCCACTTTTGTACATATGTTGTATGAATTGCTAGATCTGTTTATCTGGAGATTAGTGGCGCTTGTTTCCTACGTGTTTGAAGTTCTTAAAATTTTACTTTATGTCACAAGTTTTAGAAGTTATGGCTTATAATACATGTCCGATCTCGTTCCCGCCTCGTATCTATGAGCTAACCGGGCCGGGTCGTGACAACTAGTGCTCCTTGATCCTTTGCAAAAGTTAATAAGGAGAGATGGCTTCTCAACATCCAACGTCTAACCATTTTCCTCTTTTTTAAACAACGATTAAACCTACATCAGAACAAATAATCTTCCACTTTTGAGGATAAATGTACCCTTATTTATTTAAAGTTTTAGTTTCTAACTATGAAGCCACATGTCATTCAAAATGACAAATGCATCAAAACATACAACTAAGCATTTCTACAATTAGTGAGTAAAATATAAACTATATTCATAATTTTGAAAATTTAATAGGTTATTGAGATAATTTCTCTTGCTAGGGAAAGGAAAAAAGTCATGCACTATAGTTAGACCTAACTTCAAAGGACTATATATTACACATCATTCAATAAATTATGATTATAAAATTGATTAATTCATCATTGTAATACCTAAAACTTTAAAAGCGAACAATTAAAAATTTTCTTATAAAATTTATCTCATTTTTCTCTCATCTCAAAATATATCAAAATATTTGTATAAAATTCTATATTTCATTACGTTCATTTTTATGTATAGATGTACATATAATAAATGTAATTATATTATTTTATATAATTAGTTAATCTATTAAATCAAATTTTCCTAAAATTTCATTTAATTTTATTGTAGTTTCCAAATAATGTACAGTGCAAACAACTCCCTTCCTCCTGAATTCGCATGCAAATGACTGATTTGGAAGAAGTGGAAAACGGATGCTTGTGATGATGAGATTTAGTTTATAAATATGTATGTATGTATATATATATAGTACAGTGCAAACAATTCCCTTCCTCCTGAATTGGCATGCAAATGACTGATTTGGAAGTAGTGGAAAACGGATGCTTGTGATGATGAGATTTACTTTATATATATATATAAACCTAAAGCACTTACAATGCCATTTGTCTACTCCCTATTCTCATTGAGTTGTTGGAGGCTGAAACAGAAGGGTTGCTGCGATAAGGCCGTGAAAAGTAAAGAAGGGAATTACAGAGAAAAAGACATGCAGGAGAGGAAGAGGTAGGTTTTTAGGGTAACAATCCAAATCTTTGCAATCATTCCACTGAATCGAGTTTGGATTTGGTAGGAAGGCTTTCAAGATTAAATGAAGAGAAATCCACTCTAGGTAAAAAAATGTCATTTTGAAGTTATGTTGTATTAGATTGAGTTATTGATTTAGAAATTTGGATGAAATAAGTAACATTGTTAATTTTAAATTGTTTGCAGAAGATCAAAGTTTCGTGGAATCATTTTTCGCCATTGTGTCATATTAAGAGTCAAATTCTCATTTAGATCTAATAAAGAAATATCATTTCTAATATTTTCTAATCAAGTCTTGTGAAGATAAAAATAAACAAATTTGCCTCGACGAAATCCAGTAATTTCAATAATACTCAATCTCTAATATAAGAAACAAAAAATTCATAGGCCTAATGTTTATAACTTTCTACAAGTACATTGTATTGTCTTGTTGTCTCTGTTTATAGAATGTTTTCATACTGAGCATGCTACTGATTTCAGGAAATCTACAATGTCAATCATAATCAATTATTCAGGATAAATTCAAACTATGTTTATAGAATTCAAGTCTTTTGATTTCCTAAGGTTATGCATATTAAATATTTATATATAAATTCTTACTTATCATGTAATACCTTGGATACATTATGATATAGGTAGATTTCAGCATTTGCATAAAAGATTGTCAAGTAATATTAAATGGTTATACAAATGAGCTTAACAGTAAAAAAAAGCCAAAGAAACGTCATTTTATATGAGATAGATTGATAAAGTATGTTGTCCTGAACATGAGGTAAAAGTTCTAACGAGATGAGACTCAATAGAGAAATAAAAATGATTCCCAACTCTCGATTA